CTGGAAATGCAAAAGATACAAGGAAAACATTGTTTTTCTAATAGCCTTCTTCCTGGGGCTGTAGCAAATGTATAAGTTTATACCAGTGAGAATACATAATTCTGTTAAAAAGGAAAATTCATGTGAGCTAAAGAAAATTGATTTTCTAAACAAATTTTCTACAATTATATCTTATAATTAGTTTTATTAATTTTATATAAATATAGAGAAATATATGTGAGTAGTTTGGGCTAAGCATCATAGATTCAACAAGAGGAAGCAATGATAAATTGTTTCAAGTGACTTTGGAAAAATTTTACAAGGTATTTGAGATGAAATGTTTTTTTTAATCTAAAATATTGTCAATACTGAGTCCTCTGAATTACAAACTATCTCTTCCTATGAATAAATAGAAGCCAAATATTTAAATCATTAAGAGTTTAAAAGGTCCTGCAAATAATATACACCAGTATGGGCAAGTTGGCAAGGGAAAAAGTGGAGTTAATATCAAAAATATTTAACAGCTTGAATTTCACAGATACCAAACAATCGGAATGGTTGCTGATCCTACATCTAGCTATACTAGTGTATGTCAACTGAATACTAACCCTGGAAGAAAGGAAAATGCAGAGCAGGGGTTGCCATCTGTGTACAAAGCAGGAGCAGGAAAGGTGTATGTGTGTAAGGAAGTATGTATTTAAATATATAAACATATCGGCATCAGCATCATTTATCAACATGTATAAGAAATTTTGACAGTGGTTGTCTTTAGAGAGAAGAACTGAAGAGGGTCACCATATAGTTTACTGTTTAAAGCTGGTCAATTTTGAGAGAAAAGGAGACCATTACTATCACTCCAGAACAATAGGTGTAAACTTGTACAATCGTGGGATGTCTGGGCATAAATCACCCCATTACTGATAGCCAGCTTTGGGGGTTGGAGATGATGTACCTTTTTTTTTCTTTTTCTTTAAATAAAAAGACTCCTAGGGAATGAATGAATATTCAATCTGCAATAAAATTGGAATGGGAGAATGTCACTTTGTTGTCATTTTTGCCTTTCCATCATTATCTAAGGTAAAAAAATAAATTTGGCTATTCTTGTTATTCTTGTTAAGGGTAAATATGGTTATTGAAAATCTTGTCTAATAAACTTATTAACAGAGATAATGATCAAACAACCTCTGAAACTAAGAAGTCAATATTTGTAATTAAATAGAGTTCGAGCTGTTGATTTGCTAGACATCTTAGTAAGCTTGGGTGGTCTTTACTGTTGCTTCAAGGGGTCCCGTGTAGGAACTTGTTGCTCATTGTTTCTTCATCTTTCAAAGTCCAGTTCTAGAGTATGGGTAAACTAAACTCAAATATCATTACTCTTAATATGTTATTCAGGAGTATATTTTTTCCAGTTACATTGGTTTAAAAGTAGTACATAACATTAATGTTAGTAAATTCAGAATCTGATCAATTGGGGAAAAAATTATGTCATGTAACTAGTGAATTAGAAACAGCTGCAGAGGACTTCGGACCTTAACACAAGAAGCCTAAAGAAATATCAAATATAGGGGCTGAGGTGCAACTTAGTGGTAGAGTGTTTTGCATTCAGAAGGTCCTAGGTTCAATCCTCTGCATACACACACACACACACACACACACACACACATACACACACAGTACCAAGTTAAAAAAAAATGTGCTTTCCACCTGGAAAGAAGTATGCCTCTAAGGAAACTTTCCTTGATTACATAGCTTTATTCTCTATTTTAAAATTTATATTCTAAACCTATCACTTATACTAGATTCATTCTACATTTGTAACAAGAGGATGAAGCAGGCTAGTTTAAGAGCACAGTTAAGTCCCCAACCCCCAAATCCTCCCTAGTTGTGCTATCTTCTTGCTGTTGAATCTTTTGACATATATTGCATGTAATTCTTGACCTAAGAAATTTATAGGCATTAGCTCGTTTAATCCTTAAGAAAATGATCAAAATAAAATCCTGTGAGAAACAGGGTAATCATCCTCATTTAAGAGAGGAAGGAAACAGCCTCAGAGAGGGGGAGTAACTTGCTAGATCACGTGGCTTCTCAATGGCAAGGTCAAGGTTTGAACCCAAGTTGATAATTGCACAGCTGTACTTTTAACCGGGACACTGCGCTGTGTCCTGGCTCAGGGTTGGCAGCCAAGAGACTTAAGTTCCAGTTCCAAATCTGTGACTTCCATATTTTCTAAATTAAAAATAGGACATGGAAATTGGCAATGGGTTAGGGTATTTCTTGGGTTTTCCCCATGAAATCTAAGATGTGAAGTTGCCACAAGAAAGGAGGATCCTACTTCTTCACCAATGTAGCAAGAGAGGGATAATTAAGGCTTCATTTGTTTTATAAAAGTAGAAAAACCCTCCCATGTGCCAATGCTGTTCAAAGTACTTTACACATATGAAACTGTAATTTTTCTAAGTCCTATGAATAGCATTATCATTCTCATTATGGTGGTAAGCAAACTAATTTATGTTCCTTGTTCAAGGTTAAGCAGCCAGTGAGATGCCAACACAGGCCAGTGGTTCCTGAGTTGATGCTCTTAAGGAGCCTGCTGCAGCCACTTGTTACAAATGTAGAATGAATCTGGTATAAATGACAGATTTAGAATATAAATTTTAAAATAGAGAATAAAGCTATGTAATCAAAGAAATCTTCCTCAGAGACAGACTTCTTTCTAGGTGGGAAGCAATTTTTTTTAAATTTGGTACTGTGTGCGTGTGTGTGTGTGTGTGTGTGTGTATGCAGAGGATTGAATCTAGGACCTTCTGAATGCAAAACACACACTCTACCACTAAGTTGCACCCCAGCCCCTATATTTGATATTTCTTTATGCTTCTTGTGCTAAGATTCAAAGTCCTCTGCAGTTGCGACATCTCTGGAGGTTCAAGGAAACACCCATTCTATATTTCCCCAACACCCAAATCCTCCCTAGTTGTGCTATCTTCCTTCCATTGAGCTTTGGGGATTGCTTGAAGAGCTGAGAAAAGCATGGGTCTAGAAAAGTTGTTAAGGGAGGTAAGTTAGAAGACAAGAAGATCTTAGCAACTCAGATACGGGGTAATAAATTGAAGGTACAAAATTCAAACTGGAAGTTGCTACTCTTATAAGTCTTCTCCACCTGTGTAAGTCCTTCACTTCCACCCCTCAAACATACATGCACTGCAATCTGGTAAGGAAACAAACTGCTGCAGTGATTTCTTGCCAAATCACAAGTATTCATCTGATGCCAATCTCCATTGCCCAAACATCAATTAGAATCCTGAGTGTGCCAAGCCCTAGGTATTGTGGGGAAAAGAAATGAATGAAATAATTTCTGGGCTTAGGAGCCCTAGACAGACCTGAGTTTGCCTGCCTATAATTCCTTAAATGTGTTACTTTGCAGTTCTAATAATGACAGTTCCATTTTTTGAGCCCATATTGGGGGTCAGAGAGGCAGTTTATAAATTCCATCTCTAAAGTACAGGACAATTCTGGCAGCTATGTGATATTATCCCCATTTTATAGATGATGCAACTGAGATTCCACTAATAAACTAAGATCAAATGAAGTTCCCATTCTCTTTCCATGGCATCCTCCTGCAGTTTCAGTCTCAATTTTCTTTCCTGTGAAATGGAGTTGAATGATGCCATTCTGTTAAACCTGCTGTAAGAATAAGGAGAATATAGAATCAGGTTTAAGCCCTTACATGCTACATGGTGATTCTTACTATTATAGGAAACAGACATAGAGTTGTGTACAGAATCTGAAGTGCATTATGAATTACAAGGACGGAGCAGACCTTCTCACCTGAGCAGAGTCTGATTTTGTGGTATTTGCATGGAGCCTTGAAAGATGAAATGTGTTTGGTATGTGGCAATAGTAGGTGAAGGGGGTGGGGTGAGAAGTAGAAAAACATTTTCTGGGTGAAATTTAAAGCATTAAAAAAAAGAGATTGTCATGGCCAAAGTGAATCTTTGTGATTTTTTTTTTAGAAGCTTCAAATTTTCAAACATTTCTAAAGTAGCTAGAAAATTTGAACTGTTACCTGTTAAGAAGGAAAAATCATACCATTGACTCTCCCAGATTACGTGGGATTATATTCACAGAGCAAGGTGGATATTTTCTCTCTTTGCTAAGTAATACCTAGACCAGAAGGGGAGAGATTATGTAGCAGGATTTCAGAGAAGGAGTGATAAATGTCAGTGTAGAAGAGATACAAATGGAGAAAAAGAGATCTGGAAATGAGGCTTCTGAGTCAGTGCAAACTGTGTTCTTGTTTCTTTACCTGTGTGCCTCCAGACCAAGTCCCCTAGACAGAGCTAGTTCTAAAAGTAAGCACATTCTACTACTAATCTGGATACAGCTGAAATATCAGCACTTAAGATTTATTAATACTTAGCAAATCCTGTTCTATTACTTATAAAAAAGGGTGTTCTGCCACATCTCCCTAACAGCAAAAGACCTTAAATGTGGATAGGAACAAGAAAACTGTTGTAAACCACAGAGATGCTAAACCTGGCCATGCTGTTTAAAGCGTGTAGCCTGAATTTACAACTGGGAATGTCTTTGGTAGAAACTTAAAAGCTTACTTTCATTTTTTAAAAGTAGTTTCCACCTAAGAGTCTCAATTATAAAATATGGAAGAATTTGTCAGTATATATTTGAAATTTAAAAAAAAACAGTAGATAAGTATCAAGTCAGCATAAATCAAACAAAATGGTTAGAAAAATGGTGAGAGAAAAGAAGATAAGTTGTTACTTAAGTAAACGTGAGCAAGTCACTCTGAGACGACCAAAAAAAGTATATGCACAACAATAGTCCTCCCCTTTCAAGAAACTCTCACAACTTATTTTGCCATAGAGGAACTTAAATGTTACAATATCTTGCTAACCAATCAGCAATGCTGCTGGCCTCAAACCAGGAAGCCCTTTAATGTATAGTATTTTAAACTGTGCAAGTGAGACTTCTGGCTATCAGCTAGTTTTTGTTCCCTATGCTTGTAGGATGGAAAAGCAGATGTGAAGTCCCTCATGGCGAAGTTTAACACAGGGAGCAACCCGACAGAGGAGGTCTCCGTCAACAGCAGGCCCTTCAAAGTCACAGGGCAAAACTCCCCTTCAGGAATACAAGCAAGAAAGAACTTGTTCAACCACCAAGAAAATGCCAGCCCTCTCACAGGACCCGGCAACGTGCCTAAGTTTGGGACTCCCAAGCCACCACTGGCAGTGAAACCCACTTTTGAGGAAAAGCCTGACAAGGAACCCAAACCCCCATTTTTAAAGCCTACTGGGGTGGGCCAAAGATTTGGAACACCGGCAAACTCAGCCACCAGAGACCTTGAAGCAAAAGTGGGATTTCTGAAGCCTGTAGGCCCCAAGCCCATCAATGTGCCCAAAGAAGATTCTAAACCTGTGTTTCCTCGGTCTCCTGGAAACAAGCCTTCCCTTCATGGTGGGAACCAAGACCTAGACTTGAAGACACCAGGCCCAAAGCCAGGACCCGCTCCTCCAGCTCAGGACAATGAACAGAGGCAAGTGTTCCCAAAGCTGGTGGGGACTAAAGGCAAGTTCGCGTCAGTATCACAAGATCATGACCCCAAGGCCCTGTTCCCCAAGCCTGCCTTTGGCCAGAAGCCATCCCTGAGTGCGGAGGACTCCCACGAGGATGAGAGCCCCACAAGAAACCTGTCTGCCCAGAAAGGACCCTCACCATCCCTAGGAGCCAAGTCCAAGAGCGGCCCTTTAAAACCCCCAAGGGAAGACCCTGAAAATAAAGGCCATGGGGGTGACACTTCAAGTTCACCGTTTCCTGGGGTGGTCCTGAAACCCACTGCCAGTAGAGGAAGCCCAGGGCTCTCCAAAAATGGTGAAGAGAAAAAAGAAGATAGGAAAATAGATGCTACTAAGAACATCTTCCTAAGCAAAGTGAACCAGGAGGAGTCAGGGGCATCTCCTGCCAAGTTCCCTAAGGCACCTTCCAAGGTGACAGTGGGGGGGCCATGGGGCCAAAGTCAAGAGAAGGAAAAGGAAGAGAAGAACTCAACAACTCCAAAGCAGAAGCCATTGCCTCCCCTGTCAGTTTTGGGTCCACCTCCACAAAAACCCAGCAGACCACCAAATGTGGACCTGACAAGATTCCAAAAAACTGCTTCTGCAAACAGTGAGTTATTTTCTTGTTTGCTAATCAGTATGGTTTGTTCACAGCAAAGGGTATTTTTCAGTTCCCAGGGAAACATTTCTAACAAGAAATGATTTCATAACTGGTACTTGTGTATATGTGATGAATTTTCTTTTCCATTTTATCTTTTCTGTTTTGTGAAAGGTCTGAGAAAGTTGAAGTCTGAGTTCTATGTAAGCATTCTATGAAAAAATACCTTGGTGGGCTGGGTTTTGGGGGGAGAATATGGGAGGAGGAAGGAAGTACGTCCATGTGATTGGTAAGTGAATTTGCTTAATGATAATTATTGCATTTACTTCCTTATTTGGGTTTCATTTCAGTAAAGAGACTGAGGTATGTTACCTTTATGACCGCAAAGGAGGTAGACAGAAAATGAGCAAACTTCTAAGTCAGAAGTTCTCAAAGGGGACAATTTTGACAATCAGTGGACATTTGGCAATATCTGGTGGCAAGTTTTACTGTAACAACTGGAGGGTGCTACTGGATTCTAGATGGTAGAGGACGGGGGTGTTGCTAAGCATCATGCTGTGCATGGGATAGCCCCTTGATACAAAGAATTATCCAGACCAAAGTGTGAATAGTGCAGAGATTGAGAAATCCTTATCCAAATCATTTCCAAATATCTACACCATTCTTCATGTTTAAATAAGAGAGGAATAGGACTCTTAGGAACTGGCCCTGTGTGTTTCCTATTTTAGCTGTTTTTTTTTTTTTTTTTCAATATAAAGCTTTCTGAAACTTTCTGATTCATAAAGTAGTACAAAGCTAGAAAATTATACTGCATTATTCTCCTTCTGGGTGAGTAGTTTAGTTTTCTTCCAGAGATATCACTGCAGTATAATGGCATGTGGTATAATTTGATACTGAACGACTTGGCAAAGATTTGCAACCCTTCATCATAATGAGGAAAGCTTGTGCCTGGGATGATTCATGTTTTTGGTGAATGATATACAGCTGTTGTTTATTGTAAGGGGGTTCGTAAAAGGATGCTTACAGAGACCATACCACTATTAGTCATATTTTTCTCCTAACAAAACTATGGTCTAATTAAAGCAGTTCTAGGCCTAACAGTTGTTTTTCTTTTTCTTTTTTGACGGGGATGGGGAAGTTACTGGATATTGAACTCAGGGGCACTCAGCCACATCCCCAGCCCTATTTTGTATGTTATTTAGAGACAGGGTCTCACTGAGTTGCTTAGCACCTCACTGTTGCTGAGGCTGACTTTGAACTCACCATCCTTCTGTCTTGGCCTCCCATGTGGCTGGGATTATAGACGTGCACCACCATGCCCAGCTCTAACAGTTGGTTTTCATTGTTGCACTGTGAAACCTTTGTGTATCACCTACCTGAGATCAGCATATTCCTTGTTGGTAAACAGATAAATGATCAAATTCTCCATTAAGAAACCAAGTTTGGAAGGCCAGGCATGTTGGCACATGCCTAAAATCCCAGCAACTCAGGAGGCTGAGGCAGGAGGATCACAGGTTCAAAGCCTGCCTCACAGATTAGTGAGGCACTTAACAACTCAGCAAGACCCTGTCTCTAAATAAATACAAAAAGGGATTGGGGATGTTGCTCAGTGGTTAAGCACCCCTGGAGTCAAATCCCCAGAATGAGAGAGAGAGAGAGAGAGAGATAAAGAAGGAAACCAAGTTTGGAATGACCCTGTGATTATCCATCCATCTTCTAGAAAGATTCAACCCTGTTACACATGGTGTCTCCTCATTTGTCACCTTGTTCTGATGCTGATTTGTAACTCAGAGCTGTTATTGTTGTGAGAACCTCTAAATGATTCTTATTTCCCTACCTTATTTCTTCTATGCCTCAAATGAAAACTTAACTATCGTAACATTCATTTTATGCTTCTGAGTTTATGCCAGGGAAATAGTTCTTATATTAAGCAGAAATATGGGGGCATTTTCTTGCATGCCCCCCTATCTGTGTTCCCACTTCTCTCCTGGTGGTAACACCTGGTGCTAACATGTGGCTCAGTATCGTGCTTTTGGATAAGTTTCTCAAAATGCTAGGGAGGACCTCTTTCTGACCCCCACCAACCTAGCAAGCTCAGCACTGAGTGATTCTCAGTGTAATAGAAGGACAAGGGACCCAGGCAGAACTGCCAAATAGACAGTGTTGCCCTTGTCCTCTTCCTCCTCCCCTTCCCGGTCCTCTTTCTATCCTGGCCTCCCTCTCTGTTGTCCAGATGCCCAAGAAGGAATCTTTACTTTAGATACTGTCATCGATGAAACCTTCCCTCAAATACATTGTGCTCCAAAAGGTAGCCTGTTCCCTCTTCTATCTCTCCCACAAATCAAAACTCAATCTCTCTCAGTGTCAACTGACCTCAACTTGGTGTCAGGATAAAGCAATCTGATTCATAACTTCAAATTCTGAATAATGTCCTTTCAAGGCATTTAAATTATTTTTTTCTTAAAGTATCTAACTTGTTTTACATTTTTTGAAACAGAAACTACATTCTGGCTCAAAAACGCATGAAAGAAAAGTCACCTTGAGCCCTGGTCTGCCATTTGCTGGGTATTCCCAGCCCTTGTCCTGTAGAAACTACTCTTCTTAATTTGTACATGTTCATCCAAAGTTTCTTTATATCTTTTCACATCTTGAAAAGGAGTAAAAAATTATTCTTTAGAGATGCATAATATTCCAGTAAATGGATGACTGGCTTAATTGATTTAACAATTTGCATAGTTTCTGTACATTTCCTGTTGAAAACAATGCTGCAGGAAAATAAGTTGGTGCACATGTAATAAAATATGCATTTATTTTATGAACACAGAAAATTTATTAATCATCAGGTCTATGGATTCCTGATCCTGCTGCTGCTGCTTTTCCTAAACCATACTATAAATATGAGATACTTTAGTATTATATCTAGGAAGGTATAAAATATACCATAATTAGAAAGTACATGTTCATGTTATATAATATCCAGGTAGCAAGATAAACAGTTGGAGAAGAATTAAAATTTTTTGTAGCAAAACAAAGAATTATGAGAGTCTATTCTTTATCATCCTAGAGTAAATTAGTGACAAATTAGTAAGTATATATGTATACAAATATGTGGTGTATTTTATGTATAAATCTTTAGATAGGGAAGATAGTTTAAGAGTTCAACAAGTGTAAGTATCTCTTTCATTTCACAAGTTGGGGTTGAGGACAGCAGATGTGACTTACCCAAAATCATACATCCAAGATTAAAATTCAAGTCCTCAGATTCCAAGTTCATATTTTATCACATACCTTCCTGCCTCTATATACTGTGACTTACCCAAAATCATACATCCAAGATTAAAATTCAGGTCCTCAGATTCCAAGTTCATATTTTATCACATACCTTCCTGCCTCTATATACTCCATATACTACATGTTTATTATTGTGTGTATGCATATTATTTATATTAAATATTTACATATGTAATTACAAATACATATATAATTTTAAATCAAAGGACTCTTAAAGTTATCTGTTTTAATGCTTATAATATCCCATGAAATAAATAGAGCAATTTTTTGTTTTTGTTTTTGCAGTGCTGGGAATTGAACCCAGTTACTTATCTATGCTAGGCTAGTGCTCAACCACTGAGCTACATACTCAGATGTTAGAGCAGCTTTATTTAATTCATGTGAAGCCAAGATATAGTGTCTGAATTATCAATTTTTAATAATACTAATAGGTTGGGGACTAATAATAGAGTTAATAAATATTAAATAAGATTGTGTTTAAAGTGCTTAACAGTATCTGGCATACAGTAATAGCAAAATGAGTAGGCACTGTCAATACTTTTATTATTTTCAGTTGCATTGATATTTGATTGCAAGATCTATCACATATTGATAATTTTATATTATAAAGACTATTGTAGATATTATAAACTGCATTTTATATGCTTTTGTTTATGATATGTAAATTTGTTAGTAATTTATGTAAAATGTTGATGAAGATTAAGTAATCATTGCTGAAAGAAAGGTTTGCCACCAGAATTCCCTAGAATGTTTTCACTCAGAAGCCCTCTTCCCAGACTAGAGGTGGTATAGAGCAACAGATGCAATTCAGATAAATGGCTCCAGATAACAGTCACCCCAAGATTTGCTGCCTCCTGCAAACTGAGTCCAAGGGAAGGCATCTACTCCAGCCAGAAGGGGAGAAAAACAGCAAACCCAGCACTGATAGTCGTTATCCTGAAATTGGTACCACTATTTTCTTCCCCATTACCTATCTATCAGCTTGGAAGAAAAAGAAATTTGTCCAAGTTGCTGTGAATCATTATCAGCCCCAGCTGCTTAAATTGGCAGCTTCTGGGGAAGATGTTTTTGGGCATGCTGCCACAGACCCTAAAGTTTTCTGACATTGGAGTTTTTACTTCAACTCTAACAAATTAAAGCTAGACATGAATTTTCATATCACAGGGTTTCAGGATAAATTATTTTCTGCCTGGTATAATTAGAAAATTTGCCCATTTGCTTACAAAAAGATGGAAAAGAAAGGAGATGATATGCTTTATAAAAAAATGAGATTCTATTGCCAAATGTTTGTCCCCTATTTTTTTTAATCCACAAGATTTAATAAATACCTATTGGAGCAAAAATATAGAGATTTACTCCAAGGTTATTGTTGTGTTTAGAGGTAATTATGAGTGTATTTAAATTAACTAAAGCTTCATCTAATTATAATTATACAATATAGGCTTTGAAAACTTTATTTTCATATCTTTCTGCCTCATTTCTTCTTTTTCAGGTTAATATCCAGTTTCTTAAATCTTTTCCCAGATGTGCTTTCATCTTTCACCATCTGTCCAATATATTAGCTATTAAAATAATAATCATTTATTGAAGACTGGTCATACATCAGATATACTCCTCCCTTTTTATTTCTCCCAAGCTATTAAATGAAATTTTGTGAGGAAACTGAAACTCAAGAGAGGTTGTAGTGTAACTAACCATGGCTGATCCTCACATCCCTCCGA